TATGCAGCTGACTGTACAGGTTGACAGTGATATATTTTTTTAATTTACAAGGAATACATATAAACAATAGTTAAATGTATGTTTGTATGGATAATAATTTGCAGGGAATTAGAATCGGAAGCTTCTAATACATTAGTCGGAGAACCTCCTTTAGTTGACGAACAGGATGTCAAGGACAGCAAGAAGAGAATTAAAACAAGGTTAATATTTTAGCACATTCTCCGTCAATAACTTATAATATAAAAAATAACAATAAAATTCAATCACCATTGTTATCACAATAAATTATTTATAATAGAAATATACTAAATTTAAAAAAGTAGTTGCAATTGTAAAAGTTTGGGTATCAAAATAAATTTGTTTTCAGAATAAGTGAAGCGGCGACCGGTATAATGGGAGCTATGTCGTCACGACTCGCTTACATCACTGGATCTAATTCTATCAGTAGGCCTACGCAAGAAGAGTGAGTATTTATTTGTAAATAGCTGTCACCCCCGACTCTGTCCGTGCGGCATTAGAAAACATAATTAGTAACCTATGTGTTCTTCCAGACTATGTTCTACATCTTTGCCAAATTTCATCAAAATCCATTGAGCCGTTTCGGAGATACCTTCAAACAAACATTCATCCATCCAAATAAACGCATTTATAATATTACGAAGATATAATAAATTAAACCTATTTCAGATATGTATTAATATGAATTTATGAAACTTTAGGTTAGCAGTGCGCACGAACTTAGACGCATTGATAGCGCGGAGTCCGTCCGATGAGTTCATATTCTCAGTACCGCGCGACCCGCTGCTGTCACCATACTGGGCGGATGACGATCTTCTAAACAAGTTCCCGCCCGTCAGGATACTGGTATTGACTATATAAATTATCTCTATAAATGGATAGGTTATTGCTTGGACAGCTTCCAATTTGTCTGTTGATGGTACTGACAGATAATTTTGTCTATATTATTAGTTCGAATACTTATTACCGCTGTAAACACGCCAGCGCCAAAATGTTGAAAAACAAATAGGCACAAAATGTCACATATAGCCTTTCCATTAATAGAAGTCTGAAATACAAACTCTTTACTGATACAAAACAACTGGCAGTTTATAGCCAAGAAACTGGCCGGTTAGTAGGATATGAAAAAATAAGTTTTTTATTAATTTAATTTTGATTTTCAATTGTCTGGTGCTATTTTGCCTTTTTTTATTATTATAGCATTGGTACAGTTTGTCTTAAATGTTTTACAGACAGTACACTTGGATCCGTGTTTAGACGATTGTGTAATGTTCGCGAAGAAACTGAAAAGATTGGGCAATGAAGTTGGCATCGACGTACTCGAAGGTCTGCCTCACGGATTCCTTAATTTCTCACTGGTAAATTTATTTTTTACTATATATAAATAAAGTGCTATTTTTGTTATGATTTTTTTAAGATAATTATAATTGCTCCCTATTGCAGATGGCCAAAGAAGCGAATGAAGGTTCAAAACTTTGCGTCGAACGTATAAAGCAATTGCTCGATTTGGAAAACGAAGCTGGCTCATCGACCGGCGAGGAGAACTTATGAATATGTCTGTGCTGCCGACGAACGTAAGGCTTTAATGTGCTGTGCCTGTGCCTAATAAACTCTATGGACATAGTCATAGACATCTTGCGCATAGAGAAAAGTTGCTCTATGTTTATAGTATGGTGTCTTTAATTGTTTTAAATTACAGGGCTGTGTGAATACAATGCATTGACCTCTAAACATTATCGAATACAATGAGTTTGTAGTGTTTAAAATTTTTCGTCCCTATAAATATAAAATGGTTCTATAAATAATGTAACATAATGTGGCTGTAGGAATACAAAACATTTGCCTTAACCAAATTTAAAAAAAAAATAGTTATGTGCATTAACGATTTATTACAAGAAATCTGTTAGGAGAAATAGCTGTAGGGATTTTATCCAGGCCTTTATATAGTAGTTAGAGTTTATTCTGACATTGTAGAAACAAGGTATAACTTAAAAATTAGATTGAACAGAGCAAATGTAAATAAAAGATAAATATATAAAAATTTAATCCATCTTAATATGATTAGATTTGGAAATTAACTATGATTTGAAAATTATAAGCCTGGTTGTTGAAATTTAGTTCAATACCAAATGTTACCCTCTCAAAGCAACCTCAAAATCTATATAAAAATTTCTTATATACATAATTTAAAATGTTTGTTAGGAATTTATATCAAATAATTATATGACTTCAGTCGCTCTACCGCTTAATATATTTTTTATTGGAATATGGTTTTATTTTTTTTAATTTATTACTGCATATTATTATAATATTATACTGCATCATATTATGCACGGACCAGAATATTTAAGAGTTTGAATAGGAGTGTAAAGATTGATATAAAATTGTGTTCAAAGTATCCCGGAAATTACCTCCTCTATGGTTAATTTATAGGACTTTATCATCACAAAAGATATGTATATTTTCTGCTTTTAAATTTATTAAGTAATAATCTGTTCCTATGTCTAAAAAAAAGATGTTTGCCAACTTTTGTATTAACTTTTACACCAAATTCATTTCAGTGTATTTTGAATTACAATGGAATTGTATAATATTTTACTTAATAACAATTTCTGATTTTTTTATTGATATTTTGGAAAATGTTTAAATTTATAGTCTTCTTACTAATATTATAAATGCGAATGTTTAGATGGATGGATGTTTGTTTGAAGGTATCTGCTTAACGGCTCAACAGATCTCGATGAAATTTGGTTTACATATAGAACATAGTCTAGAAGAACATATAGGCTACTAGTTTTTTTTAATTCGCTAGTTATTAATAAAAAAAAGTAACAAGAAATTTGCCAAAAGTGATAAGCCTCTTTGGAATAAATTAGACTAAATTTGTATCCACTTATTTAATATTATTATGTTTAAAGGATTTCATTTGAGTATTGTTGAATTTTTATATTGTAAAAGTTATTTTTATAATTCTTTAAGTACAAATTTTAATTTATATTTAATAATTAAAAAGAATTAATTAATTTTGTAAGTATTGTTTTTTTCGTTTTTGTTCTCGTAATATTTTTATTCGATTAATTTCATTTAATTCTTTTTCATTTTCATTTTAAATATATTATATATTTATTGTACTATGATTATTTAAATTATTTGCTGTATAACGATTCATTTTACAAAAAAAAATAACCAAAGTCCATAGTTCAGCTCAGTACTTTTATTTACTTTATAAACAGGTTTTTAAATTAATTTATTTTTAATAATATAAAGGCCACAGCTTGTAGGCAGGTTTTTTAATACATTTTCATTGGAAAAATTTACTGAAATTTGATGCAGGACTTTTCCTAATTACTTTTTAACAGTTGTAAAGCCAGCAACAGCCTCTGTCGCACTTATAGATCGACTCAGACTCGACCGGTGGTAAACCACAACCACACAGAAGATAGACCCGAAGTGGAAGCCATTCCACGCTTCGTCTGAGGAGTGTGCATGCCCGGAGGTTAATTTTGGTCCCTTTCCCTTCCCATCCTTACCTTGTGAGGGATTGGAAAAGGACATGCGTAGGAAAGAAAAATATCTTCTTTCTAAGTGTTTCCTCTTCTGTCAATTAAAGATGGGTAGGAAAATTTGGCACATGCTAATGCGATTGTCTTTTGGCAGCGGTCACTTCGTTATATTTTTTTATTTTTATTTTTGATGAGTTAAAACTCTTTTATACCAAAACAATATTATACTTTTATCTATTTTTTTTTTATTTAAAATAATTAGCCAAACAATGCAAATATATTTAAGACACTGAAAATTCTCGAATAAATGTGTACAAATCATTTATTACCTACTTGATTCTCATTAAAATTCTCATTTTATTTTGTGATGTCATTACATTCAAAACTAAGCACATATATCTAGACATCACAGATATTTAAATTTTACAAATTAATAGTAGATTTCATTGTATAAATGCATTTTTCTCAAACACAGTAATAAGCATTTAGGAAAGCTTTTACTTTATTTTGTCTATGAACTTATGACTTAAATTATTTGTAAAATTTTTTACCAATTTTTGCGTGTGACTTGTAAACATTGGCCACCTTGATTTATAAGGAGTATTGTGAACTCCTCAATTTTTTTTAAATTAACAATTATCTGTAGTAAAGAAGGTTTGTTTGAATTTATATATAATAAGATATGACCTAAAGGTCTGTTACCAGGTCATAAAATTAAAAAAAAAATTGAATTTATATTTTGTTGAATTCTTGTCATTTGTTGAGGCAATGTTGACAATTTGATTTAAATTTTATATTTTGAAATAAAACAGTGTTTGTATTATTATTTTGTAAGCTTGTTTTGTGAATGCAATATTGAATGTCTGTGATAGAATCAATGCTTTCTGAAAGCATAGCAGTATTCTTAATAAAAGTGTATGTAAATGTATGTAATTGTGTGATTCGTTTTCTTTATGTATTAAATTTATAAAATTGAATGATATTTTTATAGATTAGAACATTAGAAAAATTCGAATATAAAGTCGTTTGGCAAATTTTATTAGCTATTTATTCCATTTTAGTATATGCAGAAATATTCTATGGAATTAATGCAGGCCTTAAATGTGGAATTATAAATGTCTAAGAAAATGTATTATTTAAGTCCACAGTAGACGATTACTAGTCACTCGACCATATTATAATTTTATGTTCTAAATAATAAATATGTTAAAATTGAGGTCTTGTTTTATTATGTACTGTCCGGAAATAACATTTACATGTAAATCTATAAGCATCCTGTTGGTCGAGATTATAAATAAACTAAAAGATATTTTTCAATAATATTAAGATGATATCTTTTTGTTCTGTGGTCTTCAATTCGAAACACACTCTCATTGTCTTTTAAAAGAGAGATATAACAGTGTTTTAGTACATATCTGCAATAAAATGTTTTTAAACATAAAAATAATGGTTTATGAAGTTTGATAATAAAAAAAAAGCTATGAGAAATGTTATCCATGTTTATTGTACTAATCCTAGAAGTTGTATGAAAACATGTTATTCAACAAAGTTTTTGTTACAGATTTGAAAAATTGACTTTTTGGTAACAATGTCCAGTGTTGCCACATATAATGCGTACAGAAAACATAGCGTCATTTTGACATTTAACAAAATAGGTTGTTTTTTATATAAATTTATAATTTTTTCTTGTATTCACCACATAAATAAAAAAAATAAAAATCTTAATATAAACTGTATTCAGAAGACAACAAGTCAAATGTTTTAAAATAAAAACAAGTCATTAGGTACTTGATCAGTTTACAATAACCACTAAAAATAGAAAACCAATTAAATGCGAGGTGACTCATATTTAGACCGGATTTTTTTTACATAAAGAAATACATGCAACCCTTAGATTAAATATGGCATTTTTGTGTAAAAATGGATAAAAGCATATTATTATGTGAAAAAAAACATTGATTTTGTGTAGATTGTTCAGCGGAAATACAATATTACTAATCAAATATTTCGTACGAATAATTCAGAATTAAATTGTAATTTATGTAACTGTATTAGTATTCTGAAGCTACATCTTTCCCTCTTTACAATTGTTATGTAATACATAAGGGCTCATGTATTTATATGTACTTATATCAATAAACATGTACTGTAAATTTTGTTCTGCCACAAATTAAATGTAGTTAAAAAAATGTCTAGAACTAAATATTCTTGGTATTTTAAATTTATCCAAATCCTAATTATTACAAATTCTATGTTACTAAAAATTCTGAGAGTTAAAGATATTACTAGATTATTATGCCATACAAAGCATGTCTTTAAAAATTCCATCTAAACAGTTCATACATCAACGTGAGCACATATTTATACAAAGCTGGTCTTGAAGTTGATGAGATTTCAGTCCATGAACTCTGGCATCATGTCCACAACCACAACTTATGATTAACCTGTTCTTTACAGATAACTTAATTTCCATTCAATTGAGATAAACATTGACTTGTATACAATCCTTATAACTTATGTTTTATCACTTTTTTTTTTCACCATGATATCTGCGTAGGACTTGGATATAAAATGTTCAGGTATTCAATCAACTTCAAGTCCATTAGTCTTGGCATGGGGCACAGATCCATTAACTAGTGGAGTAGTCTGTGGTTCTCTGATTGTTTTTTGTAACACATGGGCATCTGCCGGTTCTATTCTTTTGTAGTAATGCTCTTTCGTTTCTACAATTTCAAAGCCAAACTTTTTATAGAAGTCAATAGCCCCTTCATTATTTACTTGAACATGTCTGGAACATATTAAGTAAAAGTTTTGTATTTTGTCACCTGCGATAACTACATTCATGCTATGGTTATACCTAGTACATACATTTAAAAAGTACATTTTAATTATTGTTTAACATTGTACAAACTTAGAGTAAGGCTTACTTGATGCTGGGCAAGTTTAGCTTGTATTGGCAGTAATAAATATAAATCTTTTTTTTTAATGAAAATAATAAACTACTTTTCTCTACTAAATTTGAGCAGAGTTATCTAAAGAATCATAGCAGCTACTTGTCTTTTTTGAAGCTAAAAGAAACTACATTTATTATACTATCCACAATATCCTCAATATTTTTCTATATTCAATATTCTGAATAATAAATTGTCAGTATAAATCTATTTTTGTTACTTTTTTTAAATGGGTGTGAAAAATTTAATAGTATTTGACAGGACTAGATAGAGGTTAACTTTGTGGATCTTTGTCCAATACATGTCCAACAGCTGAACTACTTAAGAAAATTATTTTAAGAATATAGATAGATGCAAAAGCAATAAAAAGCAGTATGTACTTACAAGAAAATGCTATCGAAATTACCATCCTGTTCAACATATTTGAGCACATGTTCCACCATCAAGGTACCTATGCCTAGTCTTCTGTATGGATATAAACAACCCAGGGTCATTATGTACAATCTCCTGGAGTTTTCCGTAGTGTCTATCCTACAACAGACGGCTCCCACTACGATATCATTGTAATAAGCTAGCTTCGCCAACTCTCCGGCCTCTAAGACATCTTTGTAGAATTTGTCATTGTAGGATACTGGAAATACGACTGTGTTCAGCTTCTTTAGTTGCTTGATATTGTGTGGTGTCACGTCGCCAAGTTCTATTTTAGCTCTGGAAAACCAAAGATGTTCTTTTATGAACAAATTCTAGTGATGTCGATATTGCACACTCGCGAAAGATAACTCTTTGTCCTGTCATGCACGATTAAGTTAAAATATCTTACACTAATGCAAATTATACTTTACCTAGTCATTTTAATAACTATTTTTACACTAAAAATTTAAAAACTAAGCTAACACAGTTATATCACACGAGATCACTCCCGCCATCTACGACATTAGCTAACTCGCTTGCTCTTGCCATAAAAGAATTTTGGTTTTCGATAATCATTTCTGACAATCATGGACTTATAGTGTTTACACACTCTTTGTGGTGGCCGTAGGGATATTTCAAGATTTAGATCAACTAGACATTACCTGAATATAAGATCACAATGATTATTTAAATATTTTCGTAAGCAAACATGTTATAGGAAAGTAAAAAATTAAAATCAAAACTTAAATATTTAGTCCACTAAAATACTTTTTACTCCCGAGTTAAAAAATTAAGTCAACGTCTTAAAACGTAAAATAAAAAAGATTTGAAAACAAAACAATCGTTCTTTTGTTAAATTTATAACGTCAATTTGTAATTCAAAAACTATTGAAAAGTTATTTGTTCTATTTTTGTCACTTATAATTTATCTATTGATTATGTTTGAGAAAATGAAGTACGGTAAGATTTGTTTAAAAAACCTTTTTAATCAGAAACGTTTATTCATATGGGAAAACATGAGATTCCAATCAACAAAGCCGTTAGAATCTGATATTCAAAAAGAAATCTCTGCAGTTAGAGTAACTCCATTAACTGATGAAGCAATAAAGGATGTGTGTCCTGCTCCACGAACTATGCCAATGATATTACCTAAGGATCCAGTAGTTTTATCATTTGAAGAAGTTCCTGGACCTAGATCATTAAAATATTTGGCCAATTTCCGTCAGTATATTTCAGACTTCGGTACTCAGATTACGGCTGGCGTTTTAACAATAGGCCTTAATGCAGGTGAGTGCAATTTTTGTTAATGAACCCGGAAAAGTCACATTCGGTAGCGACCATTATCCCTTAACATCCACGATCAATGAAAGACCAAGGACTATGATATGTAACAAAGAAGTAATATGGAAAAATAGGAGATGGGATAAGAGTTTAAAATAACGAACCATTAAACATCAAGTTTCTCTACTTTGCCTTCTATGTATCTATGATTTTTACTTTCTTAGCCATCCACTACTATATTATAGAAGAAATGTAATTTTTAGGTACATATTTCCACAAAAAGAAGCCGAATCGGAGTTTATCAACATTATTTGATGAATATGGTCCGGTTGTACGTTTCGTGAGTCCAGTAGGCGGAGATGTGGTACTCATCAATCGTCCAGATCATATACAAAAAGTGTACAACATGGAAGGTGTTCATCCAGTAAGATCCGCTTTAGATTCTTTAGAAAAATATAGGTCGGAATACAGAAGTCATGTATATGGTGGAATCTATGCAATGTAAGTATTTCAGTTTTTTACTGTCTACCTCAGATAAACATTACCCTCCAGTTAGACAAAAATAACAATAATTATTTAATAATAATAATTATTGTTATTTTTTAATAATAATTAATAATAATTATTATTTTTAAAAAATAATTATTATTAATAATAATTATTTAATAATAATAATAATTATTATTATTAAATAATTATTGTTATATTATCTTTATTACCACCAGCCATGGACCGGAATGGACGCGTCGAAGGTCGGTCATGGATATTCCTTTACAAGATGCCATCACGCAACACGTGCAGGGTATCTGCGAATCCTGCGATATGTTTACGCAGAAAATATACAATATGCGAAACTATCAAGATGAAATACCAAAAGATTTAGTGGATGAGTTAAATAAATGGGCATTCGATTGTATGGGTAAGTAATATACCCCATGAAAACTTCCTACCGACCGACGAGTTCCTAATTTAAATCATGTGTACGCAGGTTTAATTATATTTTCGAAAAAGTTTGAGATGTTAGACAAGGAGTTGATATACAGCCAGTGCGACATGTCGTGGTTGTACCACAGCCTGGTGAAGGCCAGTGAAGCGATCGCCAAGTGCGAGAGCGGCTTACACTTGTGGAAGCTGATGCCCACGCCCGCTTGGTACTCGCTCATCAAGTACTGCGATAGCTTGGACAAGTAAGTGGCCACTGTAACTATTCGATAAAGATTACATTTTTTACTAATACCCTCTTTCTACTGACACCTCGTAAATTAATTATAACTAGTATAAGGTCGATCTGCGGCTTGAAATACAACGAGGACTCAGAATAATCTGATGTCAAAATGATTCTCGTTTTACCTTATTCCAGTCCATTATTTGAAATCTGGACTGGATTAAAACTGAAAAAATGTAGACACATTTCAATTGTTACATATTTATTTATGTAACTTGTTATCTAGTCGATAAACAACATATGTTTGAATTAGTAAGGAATTATATCTTAAAGTTTTTTTCCAATTGTTAATTCAGTTTAATTGGCAAGCATGTCCTTGAAGTGGAACAAAATATTGCGCTCAGTAATGAAAAAGGCAAATTCAAAGGTAAACACCAGTTTTACTTACGAAAGCTTGATTCAAAATTGCGCATATATTAATGTTATCGTCTTATTAGATTGTAATCGCTTCATTGGATCGATGTTACTTGGTGAAGAGAAAATGAATGTTGAAGATATTGCGACGGTCGTTATGGACATGCTTTTGATTGGTGTTAACACGGTACTTACTATATCACAAATATACGTATAATTCTATCCAAACTTTACAGCGGCTCGCAGTATCAAACAAGCCTGTAAAGAACGTAATAGGTTTTAGCGGCACGTATAAAGTGATGCAAAAGAAGGGCATATCCCTGCGCGGCTTTCTGCCACACGTAGTAGCCAATCATTGTACACGAAAACAAAGGCTTGCAGCTAATCTCGAGCCGATATTAAATTTGACTCATAATACGTTGTGTTCAACTCGCATTATTTTTATATTGTTTTTTTTTTTGCCTAGATAACTTCGGCGTTGTCGTTCTCTTTGTATTTCATAGCGAAACATCAAAGAGTACAGAGATTACTTTACCAAGAAATAGAGGAGAATATCACACCACAGTTATTAACAAAAGATATCAGTAGACTCAAAGAAAGCACGCCATACGTTCAGGCAACCATCAAGGAGACTCTAAGGTTGATGGAAATTTGTTACTCATAAATAAAATCTAACTTTAAAACACCTCAATGTTAACCAAAACTAACGTTTTCAGATTGGCTCCACCAATACCATTGTTAACAAGGATTTTACCAAAGAACATAGTTTTAGATAGCTATAAGTAAGTATATAATAATATTAAAAAGTAAAAAGACATAGTATAATAGTTTTCAGATATCTTGGCGGCTCTTAACTTCGCACGAATCACTGCGAAGAACACAATTTTAGGGACGTGGGGGAGGCATTGCGCATCGCGCTGATCTTGGGTCGCCAACATATATGAAAAGGCAAATAAAAGGGGATTAATAATTTGCCGATTTTTCATACACGAGATATTTCATTCATATTTAAATACTCCCATATATTTCCTTTAGAAATTTTTAAATTTATTATTCAAAGATTTTCCTTTATAATTAAAAAAAAACTTTATTTTGTGTTTTTGCATTTTAATTGGAGCGATTTTAATAATTCATTTTGCGTAGCATACCTCGAGGTACACTTATTATGATGTCAATACAAGACGCCGCACTAAAAGAAAACAATTATGACGACGCCGCCAAGTTTTACCCCGAGCGGTGGCTGAACAAGGAATCCAAGAACAATCACGACTTTGGGTCGATATCTTTTGGTTATGGTGCAAGGAAATGCTTAGGGCAAAACATTGCGGAAGTAATGGCAACATTGCTTATTACAAAGGTATGTAATCATAGACAAAGAATGTGAGTGAATTATAGGAGTAAAAAAAGTGCCTGTTAAGACCTTTTTTCCACTAACAGGCTGTTTGTGCACAGACATCAGTTATTTAGTTTTTTGTTTAGATATTAAATTCTATAACCTAATTTCATTGTAATTCTCAGGTATTGAAGAAGTATAAATTGGAGTATCACTATGGCGATATCGAACCTACTCGAAGTTTTATCGCCAAACCAAACAAGCCTTTGAAAATAAGATTTATAGATAGAGGGTAATGAGAAAAGTAATGCCATTTTAAGATTTACAAATTAGTTCTTGCCTTTTTTCGCCTTAAGTATGTTATAATAAAATTTATATTTATTAAATTGTGTTCTTCTTTTTATTGGAAGACCAGATCACAATTCTTATAAACTTAAGATAACTTTATGTATCTGCCAAATATGGATTTGAATTTTTGACTTTGAATTTAGAAATGCTGTCGCCAGCATAGGCTATGTGTGCTAAAATCTCAATTTAAAACATTTCTCTGTTTTATCAAAGATAACAGGGAGGACAATATACACACCCGGACTCATCTGTCAGGCCAACCTTGTGTTTTAAGTCTTGTCAGTCCTTAGCTAAAAATAAATGTTTGGTGGAACAATAAGTTTTTATGCAGTTTGAAGCTGATTTGTTGGTAAACATATGGTCATCCCTTTCAGTATCTTTTACCAAAGAGAGAACAATATGTGGTAACTCTGTCAACCACAAAACTATAAAATCCGTGGTAAGTGTTCACTGTAATATATTTTATTTCTATACAATTGGGATTCTGGGACTGTTCATGTAATGAAAAAAAGTAAAACATTGACCTTAAGATTTATTACTATTTATTATTGAGAACTAGAGTAAACTTAACAATTTATAGTAAAGGTATGAAGAATTTATTTATTAAACTTTACAAATCTAAATTAAAATTAATTTAAACATTTATTTATTTTAAATGGCTATATGGCATTTGGTTATCTTTGCCGTCGCGATTTGAATATGTTCAAATACTTTCCTCTTGTCATTTCCTTGGCCTCTTCAAGCCCAAGCTGATAGGCAACATCATGGAGTCGCTTCACTTCCATTATCAGACCGCTAGTTGTCAACGATCCAAGTTCTGCAAAATTTAATTATGCTTTACTCAATATGAGTTATTACTAACTACACGCAAGTCGCACAACAGACATGTTACATAGGATTTTTACTAAAGAATAGATTTTTGCTCATAGGATCAGTTGTTTTTTTACTAGATAGACTTTAATTGATAACAGAAATAGGAAAATCTTAGCAACTTGTACTGCACTCGCATTGTTTTATTACGTTAAGTCAAATTAGAGATGCTATTTGATTTCGTTAAGAGGTGTTAATTTATATTTCTGTAATCGATAGGTAGTTAAAAATAATTATTTGGATAATAACTTACGTCGCATGTGAGCGTAGTCCTCTTTGGTAAGTCCTTTCCAGGACGGAGGAGATTGATCGACATTCTGTAAACTCGCAAACTCCGAAACACCAGGAACTGCAAAAGAGTCGTTTGAATGTTGTGTACTATCGTCAGTTATCGACAAATTGTTATTGCCGTCACCCATTTTAAACTAAATGTTTAAAATACAGACGTTATAACTGAAAATAGGTAAGTGAATGGATCGCCGTAATGGTGGACGGAATGACAACATAAGAAATTGAATGTAACACGCGCGGATTTTTGAAAATCTATATCCATTTGGCAGAATGAACAAAATTTAGTGATTACGTTTAAATGATATTTCCTTACTTTGTTCAGGCCATAGTTCTGGCGAAGCTCTATCGAGCTTTTCTAAGCTAAGAAGACTTTCTTCTAAGGATGTCAATGGAATATCTTCTGATGTTGTTTGCCCTGAAAGGAATTAAATTTACTAAAACTCCACTGGTATTAAGTTATCGTGAAGTAAATAAACCTATGAATCTAAATTACAGTCAAAGTTTGAATACTTAAAAAATAAAGCAGAGAAAATGTGATGAAAATATATTTACCATCATTCACAATAGAATTATGTTTCGCGGCCATTTTCCAATTCTTGACACATAAACAAAGATATTGCCTAAACTTTTTAATTTTCCATAGACCACGACCAACACAGACAATTTAATTAAAAAGTCTACACTTTTTTGTCAAGCGATTTTCAGATTATCTCTATTACTTTCTCACTTTTGTATTTTTTTTATATTTCATATCGAAAACAGTGTGTATTGATTAATTTCTAGTGTGACAAACCCTATATTTTACATTGTAAAATTTTATTATTTTAAGCATAGATATAAAACTGTTTTCGAATAATTAGATTTTTCTATATGTTAACACTGAACTAGTTGTCTCCTTCTTTCTTCCGGTTGCCAACACAAGGCAAGGTGAGTCTTTAAGTTTTTCCGCATGGTTTTTAAAAGTATTTCAGTAATAATAAAGGTTTTCGTGATATATAAGTGAGTTTGAATAGTAAGGTAATCATTATAACTTAACATCCACTTATTTTTTTAAAATGTTAGTGTTCTGTCAGTGTTTCAAACATGCTTCTGTACCTCGTCAGTCAAGACCTCGCAAGCATCTGATAATATCTGATAATATTTTCATTATTTTTGACCCCTAATATACCCAATATGCTACCTTAGTGTTGCTTTATTGAAAGTAAAAAGAAAGTTTTTGCTACATGCAACTGCTATAAACAAATTCCGTGAAAAGCAACCTAACCTATGAATGTACCTATCTAGGTTTCAAAAGTAATAAGAAATTGTTAGAGATTAAAAAGTGAATTATAGTTGTACACCAATATTTAAATCTATTTTCTAGGCTATCGTCTCTTAGCTGCAACCTAACAACTTTTAAAGGAAACCAAAAAATTAAACTGAATTTGTGTTTAATTTTTTTAGATGCGTTCCGTGACTCTTAAGGATGTCGAACAAGACAAGGTCGTCAAGACCGTGGCTGCCCACTTGAAAAAGTACGTAATTTTTGTTTGTAATATTATCACAAATAAAATTTTCAAATTTGATACAAATTTCATGTTATTTGTTACTTTTTCAGGACGGGCAAAGTTAAGGTTCCAGAGCATATGGATCTGGTGAAGACTGGTCGCTTCAAAGAGTTAGCACCTTATGATCCTGACTGGTTCTATGTCCGTTGTGCCGCTGTCCTGCGTCATGTTTACATTCGTTCACCAGTCGGAGTAAAAACTGTTACTAAAATATTTGGAGGCCGTAAACGTAATGGAGTAACCCCATCACACTTCTGCAGGTAATTCAATTTTAAATTCAGTCTACAATTCAATTATTTATAAATCCTACATGAAATAAATTAACATAGATATTATTAAATTGAAATTAGGAAATAGAAACAAGTTATTAATTATTTTAGATCAATTATTGTTAGGGTACTTAGAGAAGAATCAGAATATTTGAGGTCCAATACTTATGTCTAAAGTAAAAAGTGTAATTCGAGAACTTCCTATAAGATAATTGTATTGAACCTGTGTAGTAATTATACAGTTTCATATTGTTGAATATACAAATATATTAAGTTATAGAAATTATTTATAGAAACATATTTTTAGTAAGGTTAGGAGCATTCCACATGAAGCAGACAGTCAAAAATAGTTAATATTTTTGATCTCAAAAATATTGGGGTAGGTTCTACCGATCAGTGTCCATGATGTTTGAAATCTTATTTAATTGGTTAACATACAATATTTCAAAGTAGATTAAAATAATTAAAGCACTGGATTTATTGCTTAATTTAATGAGCTATTTAATTGCATTTTTGAGTATGAAAAAATACTTCGATTTTTGTTTTCTTTCAAAATACATAATATTGTATAGAACATCTTAGCTTAAAGTATAAAGTTATGATGGACATAAATGTGCGTTACAAGCTAGACTGGAAATATTGCAGCGAAGTGTGGTGTTCTACTTTTTATATCCTGCCATAGTGATGCCCATGTAATTTCCTATGAATATCTCTAAAAATTGTAATGAAATTTTCAATGTGGTTGCGATGTACTCCAGGCCCAGAAATTATAGGTAGTTTGTAAAATTAGTTGATATTCTCCAACACTATGTTCTTTCAATTATGTTTAAGGAAACAAGAAAATTTTAAATGTTTTTAATAACTTTTAATATTTCACAGATCATCAGGTAGCATTGCTAGGAAGGCACTGCAGGCTCTCGAAGCCCTGAAGTTAGTGGAGAAAGTGCCAGATGGTGGCCGCATTCTCACTGTCCAGGGCAGACGCGATCTCGATAGAATCGCCGCACAAGTCCGCCAAAAAGCCAGGCAGCAAGCTAAGCAGAGTGTGATTGTATTGTAATTATATGATAAATAAAAACTAAAAATAAACTATTTTTTGTGTTATTCCGAATGTTTATATAATGACATAGATAATTAAAAAAAAAACAAGTTTTCTATGCAGCTGGCTACGTGGGATTCATGCTGTCATTGCATATTAGAAGAAGCAATGACAAGTTGTATTGAAAGCAAGTACTAATCCAGATAATCAAACAACAATGCAAAAACATGAAAAAATTAGGAAAATTCGAAATAATGGATGAATTATGTATTTTTTCCTAACGCTGGACGGTTACATTACCTTTTATTGAATTTTAGGCCTTATTTTGATATTAGTCTAAAGGCATTTTTTTATTGATTTGTTGTTATTTTTCATTTATACCTTATACCTACATCTTATTAATCTGCTTCTAAACCGTGAGTTGATTTTAAATTTTTGTTAGGTTCGTAAATCCTATTTATTTAGAAATCATTGCATAGCAGTTTTATGAGACTTGTGATTTCTCGAGTATCTAGAAGTTATGATAATGTAAGCATGATGTTACAGGTTTTTAAATAACAAGTTATTTCAAAGATATAAATAAATAAATATAGTTTTATTTCCATATTTGGAATATTGTATTTGTGTTTAACCTTCATGTTTACATAATCTGTAATTTTTTTGACATTTGTCAGTGTCAAGCTGTCAAAGTCAAAGATGTTTTAAAAATTACAGCGCAGTTTTATTCAGTTTACGTGTATGATCGGATGGGTTTGTGAATTCATTGCAGTGATGACAAAATGTTTACAGTCATAAGACGTCGAATCAGTTTCGTAGCATTGCTGTATTTCATTCCGTGTGTTGTGTCTTCACACGAATATGAAACTTGGGAAAAATCATTATACGTGGCACAAGAACCGTTTGAGGGTTCCGGGAAATTATTCATAATAAATAAATTCGATACAGTCGGAGATGGTTCACATTTTGAAAGGAAAAAACGCGAAGCGCCAACGACCCCGGCACCGGCTCTCGAGAAAAATATAAGTACATGGGTAATGCACCATTTCCTTATTAACTGCCGAGAATCATTCTCCCCTTTGTTATTTCGTCTTGTCGCCTCAATCGTGACTACGATTTGTTTCATTCTAAACTATAAATGTCTTTTGACGTTTCGTAGGTAAATTGTTCCCTTTCTTCTATTTTTGATTCATAATGATTAAGCAGTATATGTCTTTGTTGAATAACAAAGATAAACTTTGTTTCTTTCTTATTATACCAGACTGGCAAGAGAATTATGTTTTTCACGCGTATATAATATTTAAGTTTTTTCTTATTCATGTATGTTAATAAGTTTGTAAATTTTTATGTGATAGTCTGAATTACTATGCCTATTTTGGACAGTAGTGTCATTTGATTCATCTTCTTGCCCCAAGTGTCACAGAGTCAAAGGGTTCACTTCATCTGTATAAAACAATAATAAAAGTCTAAATTAGTGAATAAAAAGTTTAAATCACTCTCAACATATTATTTTTACATTATTAAATTGATTTATAACTTGAGCATATTTTTTGTAACAGACAACCCATCTAAATGACAGTCACCAGCAGTTGATGGTACACTGGGTAGGCGAAGGGTCTAAGGTCATTATTTGCTTAGCAAGAGACTCTAGTCCAAGGAGTAATGGAACATTGTCACCATCAGCTCTCTTCATCTCTTACAATTATGGCCAGACAATTGTTAATAAGACCGAGAGCTTCAGATTGGATGATACACCAAATAGTGGATATGCACAGCTTGACAGGTTCTACAACCATCCAAAACATCCAGAGTTTGTAAGTTAATAGTTTAAATTATTTATAGAATAAAGATGTTTTTTTTATAGATTCTTAACTTAATAATAGAATTATACTTATCAATACTAAGTTAAGTAGTTCAATGACCTCTGAACAGCTGACTAAAGCCAATTAAATCTGAGTGCTCTATTTTTAGTAGCCTTGGTACTTGATATGTATTCTTTAGTGTTGTGCTGAAGTTATACAGATATTCAATTCAAAAATTAAGTTATCACTTTTTTAATGTGTGTTTTTATGTAAGAGAAAATGTAACACAAAGCTTTGATATTTTTGTTACAAACTAGCTGTCACCTGCGACTCCATCCGTGTGGATTAAAAAAAAACTTAATTAATTCCCGGCAATTATTTGAATTTTTCTCACCTTTTAAACCTTCCCTAGACTTTATTATATGTTACTAGTTTTTATTAATAATTTTACAATATAATGATTTAATTTCCTTTGTTCCAGTGTGTTTTTGTTGATTCAATCAATAAGAGATTATACTATACAGATGATAATGGTCAAAATATACACAGATCGGAGCTAACATTTCATCCCAGCGAGTTGTTATTCGATGAAGATAATCCCAAAAGATTTGTTGTTTTGGATAAAGTTGGCCGTAATCGTATGGTTAGTATCATTATAATGTTGGTGTTTTGTACATTATATACAAAAAACTTTCCATTCACAATAGCTTAATGTATACTTTCATTTATTTTCAATATTACAACAACAATACAACTTGTGATCATCCAACTATGACTCATTTGCTGTGGGTTTCCAAGACTGAAATCTTTTGTTTAAAGTTTATTGTTTACTTTTTTTTTGTCATAGATATGACAAGAATGATTATAAGTTTTATACAGTTTTTGGTCTTAGAAACCAACGGCTAGAGTGATCCTTGCACATTTCCCCCAACTTACACATACAGGCAAATCAATTTCAGATGCTCTTAATATTGCCCTTCGTC